ATAACAGAGCCTGTGCAATATTAAATGCAAATCGGAACGTGACTGGATTGATATTACCGATACATGAGGAGATATTTACAATCAGACGGTCTACAGACTACTGTACGTACGAATGTTCGCGTATTGGAAATGTGTATACTTTATCAAATTTGACATATATTGCGGGAGAGGTGCATGTATCAATAAGTTGAAAAAACACGTCGGGCCGGAGTTAAAAAACCTTTTTCCAAAAAGTTTTACCAATATTTCCCGTTTTTAACCCTTTAAGGGTTTTTTTTTCCTTGGGGCCCCCCCCCCCCCCCTTTTGGGGTTTTTTTATTTTTTTTTTTTTTTTTTTTTTTTTTTTTTTTTTTTTTTTTTTTTTTTGGGGGGTGTTTTTTTTTTTTTTTTTTTTTTTTTTTTTTTTTTTTTTTTTTTTTTTTTTTTTTTTTTTTTTTTTTTTTTTTTTTTTTTTTTTTCCCCCCCCTTTTTTTTTTTTTTTTTTTTTTTTTGTTTTTTTTTTTTTATTTTTTTTTTTTTTTTTTATATTTTTTTATTTACGAATACGGCGTCTAGGGCCGAAGTTAATAAATCGATTTTTCAAATAAGTTTAACTAATATATCGCGTTTTGAACCGTTAAAAATGTTTTATATAAATGTGTACTACTCGCGTATACTACAGACAGTACTATATTACAAAGTCTCAGTATATAACGAAAGGTCGGGAAAGCCGACGTGTAGATAAAATAATATTTGCGTCTCACTAAAATCCCGGCTTACAGGTGACGTAGGTAAATCTTGTCCTTATCTAAAGAAATCCCTTTATACGCTCTCTTAATTCAAAAGGCTATTTGGTCAGTGTCACGTGGCCAGTACGGAAACTATTAATTCGATTGGATGTTTTTTCTGGAGCGTATGGAATTGACGAATAATTTTCTTATTTTGTATTATTATATAAGCCTAAAACTGTTATGCGCAAATGAAAATTCTACATATGAAAGAACATCAAAACAAATACTCTCTCACAGCAATGCTTGTTTGTCTGTGGGCGAGATGTAAATACCAGAGTAGTAGTAGGGCGTCTGCTCGGCGAGAAACATGCGGAGCCGGAAATGAAGTTTTATTATGCCTATCTTCTTCGTATAATATATCATAACACCCGTATCTTAAGCGAGAAAATGGCTCGCCGTTTTCTCTACGGCTGTTGAACGACTGCATTGAGTTGTGACTTGCATTTTTTTGTGTCTGATATTTAGATATTATGCTTAGATACGTCTGAAATTTTAATAACTCGGTTCTCTCAATAATATAGGCCGTACAACTGCCCCAGTTTTTATCTGAGGCAAAATCTTTTACGATATTAACTTTTTCTAAATGGATGTTTGCCAACTTTCTTAATCTTATGTGGGTTACAAGATAGTGACCTTGGTAGGGCGTTGAGAAATATCTTTGTGACAGTATTCAAGTGCATGTGAAAGCCCGTTTCACCCCGTGGGGCATGGGGCGAACAGATATTTGTGTCCGTTTCAATGATCCGTTCTTTTAACGGGCAAATAGTTGATCAGACTTTTGTGCCCTGCCCGACCGTAATGTAATTTTTTTTATTACTTCTAAGTGCACGTACTTCTTCCAAATTAATTTTAAAACCATCATAAATAAAATTGAAATAGGAGATTTTGTTTAAAAAATTGAGCATTATATAAGTTCAAGGACGGATAAATTCGGCCACATTTATCATCTTTTTTATTAAATAAGGTTTGTAGACCAACACAGAAATGTCTCCTTTGTGGTCCATACAGACAAAACCGGATTTCCATTTCTTTGACTACCGGGACTAATAGATAAGCTAGGCTTTCTAATAGATTAGCGAAACCCTCCACTTAATCCAGCACAATTAGTGTCGCTTTCACGAAAGGCACCTTCCTATATTTAGTTGACGTTCTGAATAGACACGTTGACAGGATTAAGCCGGGGACATAGCCTGACCTCAAGATAAATTGCTTTGACAAATGTTAGCGGGCATAATGTTACTGTCAAGTGCCTAATGTTTGGTGGACGTCCCTTAAAACCTTATAGCGTAAGATCCGGTGACGGATGTTTAAATATTCTTTTAAAAAAAAAATTTTTTTTAGAGAACCGAAAGTATATGCTACAGGTATTGAACTAGAATGAAATATATATTAAACAAAGACGAAAAAACTAAAAAAAAAGTTTAATACAATGAAATAACTGAACTCTTTACAAATATAAACTAAAAAGAAAAATTACGCATCAAGCAATAAGTATAAGGTCAAAAGTAATGTTTAACAAATTGAATTATTGAATCTTTATATATTAGAATATAATTTTAAAGCTAAAAAAAAATAATATTATATCAAATTACTTAATACACATATTATGAAACATAAATAGCCGGGAAAAATATTCACAGTCTCTTAGACTATACTTAAAGGTTTGACGATTGTTATTTACATAGGAATGCGTAATATAATATGAAAAGGTTGCCTACTTAAAAACTGTCTGTAGTTTACGCGAGTAGTACACATTTAAATAAGGAACTTTAACGGTTTCAAACGCAAACGAATTGTATGAGTCAAACTTGTTTTAAATTTTTTCATTTCGAATGCTTTGCACCAGGAATGCTCACGGTTGCTGCAAATATATTTCGCGTTTTCAACCGTTAAAGCGTTTTATTTAAATGCGTACTAATCGCATCAACTGCAGACGGCATTTAGAGAGACAGATACTGTAATAAAAGACGCGCCATAGAAATCTTATCTATGATGTTCCATTTTGTTATCAATGCATTATTATGCCGATATCCGGTTATCTCTATAAAATTGCAGCTTATCTACTCTTGAGTATTTTACTTCAGACTATTTCAAAGGCTTACCAAACAATAGAAGTGATGAAATAGAGATTAGGTTTAATAAAGATAACTATACCGTAAAGTGTCAACAGAGAAAATAGGAAAACAATTCATAGGAGATTTTTTTATAGATCTTAATAAATTTATTTATATCTCTAATTAATCTAAAAGACACGTACACATTCGATTGACCCTGAGGTAAATTCAGAATATTTACTTTAAAAAACTCGATAAATTATGACGTTCAGCTATTTACTGGTTTAAGTTAGAAACATTTGAAGCTGCAAGGTTGAAAAGACACATTTAGTCACCATGTTTTTAGCAAATACTGCTTTCTGGCTCATCAATTAATACCGCTAATAGCAAATCTATATAAATTGTTAAGCAAAAAGTGGGAATAGTTACCATTTTACAATTAATTCTAGTACCTGCCCGAGAGTTAAACTAAAACTAAGATAAATAAATAAATGTAAGTCCTTATACTTATTCAATGAAATAAAAAAGGTTTATTATGTCAATAGATCTTTAGTATCGTATGTTTTTATCAAAATATACTTAATGTTATAATCAAAAACACTAGGTTGATTGTTCAATCTAATCCTCGATATACGTATGATTAAATCGATTGTTATGTTAACGCGATTTGTCATTGAAAGATTACTTACACATACGGCCTAAATGTATCCCATGATTTAAAAATTTAGAATATATTTAAAGCAGAAACGCAGAACGTAGAAACGTTGAAAATTGTATTCTTGTACCGTGTTTCACTTAAAACATAGAAGCAATGTTGATTTTTTATTATTTTTGTAAAGTGCTTAGGTTGGTTTATGTATATGTTAAACGGTCTATATTGGGCGAATATTTATTTTTATTTATTTTGGTAAATGTTATTTCCGATAGGTTTAACAGGAAGGATTCGAACTTACTATCAGCAGCAAACCGTGCTGTTGTTCTACCAATTAGGCTATTGGGTTAGAGACGTATGTGTTCAGTTCAAAGTGAACAGTGAAATCTTGATAATGAATACAACATAACAGTAGATCTTTATTATAATTAATTTGCACAAGTAAATCTTGCGATAAGCTTAACTTTTTGATTTTTGTGTAGTATGAAGGGGCGTACGAATTTTGATAAGAAAAAATTTTCGAAATTTATGATAATTATCGTAAATTGAGAAATTATCTTAGCTATAATAAAGATTAATAAATCTGTCAATAAACTAAATTCAAATTGATAAGATGGCCGCCGATTCTTTATTATTGACGTTTTCGTGACAGTTGACATTGACATAACGTGGTTGACAACTAGAATACAATTTTTAATCTTTTTGCTCATAGTGCCAACAATATTAGGAAAAGTCTTTCCCTTACACCATTTATTTGGTCCATACAGTACTATAGATAGAGTACCTATTATTGTGAATGTAGTCACGTTAAGAATTCCAAGAGCTTAGATTGTGTACGGAATATAGATGTTACTGCTCGAATTAAATTGTATTTCCCGCTTTTGTTATATCCTCTACACATTTATACGATGTTGTTTGTTTCGAATCATAGACCTTTTGTGGTTTAGACCTAAGCAATAATTACAATAGCGAAACTTATATATAAAGTCTAATTAATTTTAATTATGATTTACGTTAACGTTTAGTTACAGTGTGGTTAATTTTAGGACATGCCGGTTGTCAAGAAAGATACGAAATGCAGAAGAGCACGTGTCTATTAAAGAAAATATTTTAAGTTAAACAATACTTCAAAAGGTTAAATAATTATTAACTAATTAAAATCTAGTTTCTGTCTTTGCGAATTTATATGTTAAAGGTCCCCTCGGTAAGTTATGATTCTTAAGAGAAAAAGAAGAATATTTTATAAAACAAGGGGGGAGAAAGATAAGAAGGTATGTAGAGAAACTGTCAAATAGAGTTTGCCTTATTTATTATGTTAGTCTATATATTTATTCGCCACGGATCAGTAGGTACGACAATCGATCAATCTAGCTGGATTAAATAATGATTTCAAACAGAAATAAACAATATTCGCTATTTAAATCAAAATCCATTTTAATCAATATAAGATATGGCGATTGATTATCTTATCTTTTCTGGTAATATAAATTAAAACGAGCATACATAATACTACAATCGACAATTATGGGTATATTCTTCTTAATATTGGGTCTCCTTACTGTAAATGTATCGGGGTGGAACTTACAAGGTATACTATACATTTGATATTTATTTTTTTACTAGGTTTAAAACTTTGAAGGGAATAGGATTCATTTTACTGTGCTCTTAACGCGAAATATATTCGTTCATTTATTTACGATCACGTTTGAAATGAATAAGATGATTAAATACTGTCTATAGTTTACGCGAGTAGTACACATTTAAATGTTTTGCAGCAGCCGAAACGTCGGGCCGAAGTTAAAAATCATTTTCAAATAAGTTTAACTAATATATCGCGTTTTAAACCGTTAAAGTGTTTTATTTAAATGAATAAGATGATTATAAACCGCTAGGAGTATTTTATTTAAATGTGCACTACTTATGTAAACAGGCAATAATAGTTCAAAAGGCTTTGCTTTTTGCTAAGTGCCGTTTGTACGAATTTTGAAAACGATCGCAGTTCTACGTATGTAGGAAAAAGCTTCTCAATTTTAAAGCTTAAGTAATGCACGAAAGACGCTTTTTTTCTGTAGCACAAGAAATCACGATTACAGCACAAATGAGCACAAAAATGTTGTTTTTATTCTCAATACGCTTTGCTAAGTATGTAGGTAGACATGCCACCGTACTTAATTTTTATAACATTAATTAAGATAATATTATATCATAAAACATATTTTACGATAAGTTCTTCGTGTTGTTTATCTAACATATTCCAGTCACGCGCTCTTTTCTTCTAGAATCTCGCCAGCAGAGAATAGTGGGAGGAGACGTAACCACGATAGACCAGTATCCATCTGCTGCTTTAATACTACTTTATAGTTGTTTTGATCATGTTTTCTCCTCTGTCTGCGGTGCTTCCATTATAAGTGATCGTGCAGTTTTGACAGCTGCGCATTGTATCAGGTAAGTTTGAAGTGTGGAATGTTGTTGACGGGTTCGTTGGTGTATGGCAGCAATGAACGGCTAATAATAAACGGGTCGTGGGTTCGATGCCCACACTGGGTCCCACATGTTTCTAATATTTTTTTTTGTTTCTATTTTTTTTTTATTTGTTTCTAATTTATAAATTTTCGGAAAATGTTGAAAATAATCGGGATATTAAATGAGTGGTAGAATTATAGAAATTTGGCTAGGGTATTTTATGGGTAGGCGAAATTATGGGTAGGTAAGAGGTTTACGTAATTTAAGGTGAAATCTTAAATTACGTAAACGTCTTGATCGATGTTATTTACACAGTATAATAAATTAAACACTTAATGCGAATGATTAAACCTTTTTCAGTGACTATGTACCTGTCAGTTATTGGCAAACGAGGGTAGGATCTAGCTTCGGGAATCGGGGAGGATTTGTCCACCAAGCCAGTAAGGTTTTGATCCACCCGGAATACAATTCACGCGGTATTTTAAACGACATTGGGATAATACAGACTTCTACACCATTTACGTTCAGTTCATATGTATCTGCCGCCAGCTTTGCAGGACGAAATTATTATCTGCCAGATAATGAACCTGTGACCGCAATTGGGTGGGGAATGAATGATACGGTATGTAATTTTAGCAATATCAAGACTGCCTGTAGATTACGGGAGTAATACATATTTTAATAAAATACTTTTAAAGGTTTAAAACGCGAAATATTAATACGATTCCTCGTGATCACGGGTGCTGCAAAGCATCAGAAACGTCGGATCGTAGTTAAAACAAATTGTAAATAAGTTAACATATATATATCGCGTTTTAAACCGTTAAGTGTTTTATAAACATTACATAATTTACTTAATATGATTGCGACGTGTTAGGATGTTTTAACTATTTCACGACCAAACTGCTTTATTTATTTTGATGGAATTTTTCGATAAACAAGGTAACAGAGCAACAACTTTCTAGCCTGTTAAAAATATATTTTTTTAATAATCTAAAATCTTTTCATTTATTTTCGTAATACAAAAATTATATACTATTAATAATTAAACAGCCATAAGTTTTATATATAACAGATATGATATGATTTAGTATAAACTGATTTATTGTTATTATTTGTTTGGTTATTGAAAAATAATCTTATTTCAAGATCAATCAATCGGGCTCCGAGCAGTTGAACAGAGTACATCTCCACACAATCAATTGGAATCTATGCGATAGTATTTTCCGAGAAGTTGGATCGCCTATTGGTGAAGAAGTGCTGTGCATCGGTATACCAGGTGGTGGTGTGGGAGGACAATGTGCTGGCGATTCCGGAAGTCCCGTTTATCATTACGGTGTGATTGTCGGTGTTTGCTCATGGGGACATGGCGAGTGTGACAACCCTCGATTCCCACACATCAACGCGATGGTGTCAAGATATGCAGACTGGATTGTTCAGAATTCGTAGGACCTACTTAAAACTAATGTTAAGAAGTTTGTTTCTATTCCTGATTGAAATTTCTCCAAATAATTAACGATGTAAATGTTACAATTAAAATAATGATTTCACAAAAAGTATTTTCGTATAGTTTATAATTAACATTCCAAATTATAATTATATTTTTTATAGTCGTTCGTATACACGCTAATTTTTTTTTCAAAATTTTCAAACTACCATATGTCATAATTATAATCATATTTTTATAAACAGTTTTATTTAGCTCGACCCATACGGAATTTATTTATTTGGGTCAAAAGGAGAAATTGAAACTTAATCACCTTCCCGTTGTCAGATTGATCTAAAATTTGGTACACACATTTAATTTAGATGACACTACAATAAATCAAAAAATATATAAATCCAAGATGGTCGCCGATAGAAAATGGCGGATTATGTTTATTTTTCCTTAACTATGAATATGGGTATCAAATGAAAGGGCTAGTAAAACACGATGATTATTTTAAAATTTTTATTTTTTTTGACGTTTTTAATGCACAAAAAATAAAACTGTTTAACTTAAAAGTTTTTTTTTAAGTTGATACTTGGTTATGTACAAATCAGTGAGTCTCTTCTTTCCTTTAAATTAAAATTTTATAGATTTATATTCGTAGCTGTTATAACATTATAAAAATAGTAAAAACTATAGGAATGAAAATTAGTGTTTATTTCTTCCGATTTTCTTATTTGTAATATGTACTTATACTTTTAAATATACCTAAATAGTTAGGATATATAAAGATAATGGTTATTGATATATAATTAGTTCAGATAAATGATTTTGGAATACTTGTGGAAAGCACATCTTTATCATTTTTCAAAAGTATGTTAGTTTTTGTCTTAGATTTTTCAGAACTCAAAATAAATAGTTCCAACTAAATATGGTATAGAATATAATATAATTTAGAATAGAGCCAAGGTTTATTTACAATATTACAAAATTTTATTTTCGCACCTTCTTGTATATAACATGATCATACATATATTAATAAAAATAGCCAAGTAAATAATTATGTGTGTCATAATTAGTTATAATTATTGAAAGCTTCTTTTATTTATAATTTATCTGTGCAAGATAGTATTTAGATTAGTCTTATCGTGTGTGCTAGGTATATATTAAAACTGGCGCTTAAGAATTCAAGCGGTCATTATGAGTTTTATAATTTTAATTTTATGTTTATACTCTGTGGGTATCTCTGGACGACGTTTACCAGGTAATATAATTGTTTACTTTTCATTTCAAAGCAAAAGTCATATATATATTTTTTAGACATGTTACAAGACATTGTATATATAATTGAAAGTTAAAAAAAACTGCCCTCTCTATTATAAAGAATATTATCAAAGCATTGTCTGTCGTTTACATAAGAAGCATTTCAACTGTAATTTATCCAAAAGACCCACGTGACCACGGTTGTGTAACACATTCAGATCCTTGGGTTGTATTTAAACATATTACGTACGAATCTCTTTCACGTAAATGAATACATACTTATTTCTGTATCTTTTTCACTAATCACATTTATTTACAGGTCAGACACTGTGTTCTGTCCGTCCGAAACTACAATTTTTCCCCAATATTCGAACCTAGGATTTCTCACGTCTTACTTAATGCTAGACAATGCTCGTGACTATTAAGCCGAGGATTGTGTAAAGTATGACATTCATAGAATGAAAAATTATATTCTTACGTAAGTCCTTTTTCTAGAACATTACCAGGGAAGGATTATTAATGGAGATGTGACCACTATTGATCAATATCCTTCAGCAGCTGTTCCCTTATTATATGACTGTTTTATCAACGTGTATAGAGAATTTTGTGGAGCGTCTATCATAAATAGTCGAACGATTTTGACAGCAGCACATTGTATAGTGTAAGTTGTATATAAATATATATTTTTTTGAAGATACAGAATTTCTGCAAGAAATTGAAAGACCGATTTAATGAAACTCTCTCTCTCTACTCTGAACCTTACAAACCATAATATATTAAAACATGTGGCTATGCCACCAGATTTTTTTTAGGCATTCTATATCACTGTGTCGGAAATATTAAAATCTGTTTCAGCCAACATGTACCTATCTCTTATTGGCAAATGAGAGTGGGATCCACCTTCAGCAACAGAGGTGGTGTCGTCCATCCTGCGAGCAAGATTTTTATCTATCCTTACTACAACTCGCGAACTGAAGACAACGATATTGGATTGATCCAGACCAGTGTTCCCTTTTCTTTTAATTCTTTAGTATCTCCAGCCAGGATCGCTGAATGGAATTATTATTTGCCTGATGGTGAACCTGTTACTGCCGTAGGATGGGGAATGAACGATACGGTAAGTTAAAGCAAGCAAGTAATAACTAGAAACCCACGCGTTGTCCGTCGCGTCGTTCTTGCGAACAAAAAAATATTTTTACAATTTGAATTAGTAGTTCCTGAGATTGATGCATTTATTAGTATAAATTAAGATGGGAAAAGAGTTTGAATTATAGTTTATTTATTAAATGAATACTTTAGGTTTTTGACTTGACACTTATTTGCAATTATTATATTTTTATACGTCATTTATTTAACTCAATAAGACGTAATGCATAAGTTACTTCAATAAGTTCTACCTTTGATTAAAACCTTCTTTTAGATACACCATTAGTTACATTTATAAATATATATATATTTAATTCCTTATAATATGACTCTGTGATATTTCTGTTTGTTTCCTGTTTTCTTAAATAAATTAAATATACATAATAGGTTAAAACGATAGACACTTTGATGACCGCCTCTGTAGCGGTTAGTCATGTGCCTAGCATAGCGTTAAGCACGAGGGGTTCTAATCCCGTGGAGACAATAGATTGTTTCGGTCAGGCAGGGTACACAAGTCTGATCAATTTAAATAAAACACTTTAACGGTTTAAAACGCGATATATTAGTTAAACTTATTTGAAAATGATTTTAACTTCGGCCCGACGTTTCGGATGCTTTGCAGCAGCCGTGGTCACGGGGAGACATATAGACAGTATTTAAGTCTGATCAACTTTTATCTGTAAAGAAATCCGATCAGTGGAACGGACACAGAAATGTGTTCGTCCCATGCCCCACGGTGAGAGTGGAGTCCACTCACTTTAATTTTGATGAATTATATATGGCAAATTTTTCTTTCAGTCATCACACATTGGATCAGATCAGTTGCGTAAAATACATTTGAACACTATTAATTGGAAACTATGTGATACCATTTTCCAAAAAATCGGACTCTCAGTCGATGAGAATATGTTGTGTATCGGAATACCAGGAGGTGGTGTGGGAGGACAATGTGGTGGCGATTCTGGAAGTCCCGTTTATCACAACGATGTGATAGTTGGTGTCTGCTCCTGGGGACACGAAGAGTGTGACAATCCAAATTTTCCACATGTCAACATGTTGGTGTCAAGATACGCTTACTGGATCAAAGATAATGCCAAATAAACTATTTTTTTAAGAACGAGTTTAAAACGTGAAATATATCAGTTATTAACTACGACCCGACGTAAAACATGCTTTGTAGCCATCGATCAATTATTAGTGATCGATATTTGTAGCGTAGCCCCGTAACCATGTACCGTATCAACCGTGTCTATGTAGGTTTACTAAAATATTTTGCATTTTTAAATGTTTTGTTTAAAGATGGTCTTTTCTTTAATTTTTGTGAAGTTTGAATGAATGTGAAAAATATTAAACATGTTTTCTAGCTTTTAATACAAACAGTATTAAATGTGAATAGAATAGTCAATAGACTGTTATATAAAGAAGTTTTAAATATATTATACTAATACATAACGTATATGTCCAAAATATCATGAATAAATATGTCGCAACAAATACAATAATGTTTTTAAATAAAATACTTTTACGGTTTAAAACGCGATATATTAGTTAAACTTATTTGAAAATGATTTTTAACTACGGCCCGACGTTTCGGATGCTTTGCAGCAGCCGTGGTCATGGAGAGATATATAAAAGTGTACTACTTGCGTAAACTATAGACACAATAATGTTTCTTTATTCTTTTATAATATAAGCAGGTTAATTAGGCTTCTATTTGTATAAAAGTTTAAAAATACAAGATTTTATTTCTCAAAAAAGATACAAGATCACTTACTTGAGAACACTATACATATCAATATCTTTTTTATAATTCTACCCGCATACATCGTTCAAGAAATTAAGACTAAAGATTGCGCATTACTCTGTGTTTTTAAACACATGGTTGAAAAGTTGTTTCTCGAACGCCACTCGCGGCAAACGTTTGAGGCGCGATGGGAGATTGTCAAACAACTGTGCTCAATAAAATAATAACATTTTGTGACATCATAATTTCTAAAATTGTGGACAGTCGCTCTAGCATTCAATAAAGATAATAAATGGAATTATATGTTTTATTTCAATAGGCCAAATGCAATAAATATTTTTTAAGCCGTTTTTTCCCGGGCACACTTAAGAAAAGGGGCATAAAAAACTGTCTAAAGTTTACGGGAGGAGAACAAATTAAAAAAAAAAACTAAAAGGGTGGAAAGGGGGGTATTTTTTAAAAAATTTTGGAAAAGATTTTTAAATTGGGCCGGCGGGTGGGGGGGTTTTGGGGCGGCGGGGGGGTTCTAGACGTAGTAAAGAATTGCCACCCCAGCGCCCTCTTTTCCCCCCGGGGGGGTTTTTTGGGGAAAGGGGGGGGCCCTTTCAAAATTTTTTACAGGGTTTTTTCCCTTTTTTTTTTTTTTTTTTTTTTTTTTTCCTGGCACACTTATGAATATGTGCATTATACAACAGGTCCATTTTTAATAAACCCTTATTTTTTATTTAATCCTAAATATTCAAGATGGATTTTTTTAACAAATTCATATCTCTCTCTCGTTTGATGTATACTAATTATCGGTTTATATGTGTAAATATATGTATAAATCTGGCGTTACTCATACGCGCTTTAATTTTATCTTTTAATTCTTATTAGTTATACTAACAGTAGGTACACATAAATTACATCTATACTAATATATAAAGCTGAAGAGTTTGTTTGTTTGAATACGCTAATCTCAGGAACTACTGGTTCGAATTTAAAATTATTTTTGTGTTAGAACATTTATCGAGAAAGCTTATAGGCTATATAACACACGCGAAGAAGCCCTCGGGAAATATGAAAAAAACGGGGGAAAACTTTCACCTCTGTAAGTTTCCAATGTGTACGCTGCGAAAAAAATATGTATGAAAGAATGATTCCTCTATAAATGACCTAAAAAAATTCCGATACTATATGTCTATCTTTTAAGAAGAAAGACGGAGTGCGCAACCGTCGTCGTGGGTAACAGCTTAAGCTTACTAAGATGAAGGGGCTTGCAAAAACGAATTTGGATGCCCAAAATAACGATTCTCGCGGACGAAGTCGCTGACACAGCTAGTATATTTATAAAATAGGTATGATAAGCAAAAACTTTTGTCATGTAAACAAAAAAAAATGAATTGGAAAATCCAATCTACATAATATTATTTCAATGAATTTGATTAACACTATCTATAACAAACATGATTTTCATATTTTCACCTCTTTATCAAAGAAATCAATCGAAAAGGATTAAAAAATTATTGCAAATTTATCATCAATTATTTAAAAAATATATAATATTGGATCTGTATTTTTTATTGTTCTTGCTAAACACGATGTTACTTATGGCAATAAAAATGTAGAACACTTTACTTCTTTTCTATACTCATATTATAAAGATGTAGAGTTTGTTCGTTTGTTTGTTTGAACGCGCTAATCTCAGGAACTGATGAGTAGAAAAATTATGGTGCGAAGAAACGGTGGGAAATGCGGTAACGGCGATAATTATTAATATTTGAGAGCTTTCGTTGCGGCAAAAACGGTTAAAAAAACAAAAACTTATGTATCATCATAGAATGATTTCTCTGTATATTATTATATAAATTATCTTTTAGGAATAACTCGCAAGAACGATAGAAAGCTGAGAATGTTGATTGCAAAAATACATTTAGATCGTTACGTAAATAGTAATTAGCACGAGAATTTACCAATAAAATATTAACGACTTGTACTATAAACAATAAATAATAATTTGTTAAATCTGTTTATCATAGCAATCAATCAAATAGTATTAAAATAATTAAAAATAAAAATTTATCACGATAATAGAGTTCCGCGAATAGGAAGTAATTATGATTTTGGATTACGTTGATTATAATCAGTTCGATTTAAGTCGTGGGACGGTGGACGTCGCGCGTAAAGATGAGTACTTTTGGCACTGTCGTCTTGGCTTTCTGCGTAGTCGGCGCTCTAGGTAGCTGTAGGTCGCACGCACCACGAGGTACATAATTTAATATTAACGTTACGTTTGTAACGTAACGTGTTATGTTACAGTAGATAATGCACATTGATAAATTGTTTATAGTTTAATGTCTTGAGATCATTATTTTGACCAGAGAATGGAGATATATAGTGGTATCAATACATAATTTTATATTTTCATGTTTACTATTTATTTATATATATATATATATAGTAGATATGAATGATAATATATAAATAGTATATATATATATATATTCATCTGCTATTTATTTATATATTAGGGTCCACTGTATCCAAAACGGGACTTTGTAGGAGCAATAATTAAACGTTCGTATATTCAAAGTCAATCTATATAACATCTTATAGATCATATAGATGTTATATAGCTGGTGTATTTCACCTTATAGTAGGTGGGTACCTGAACTAGATACTTGTCTGTCCTCCTACATAATAAAAAAACATATAATTTAGTCATTCACTGAAATCAGACAAATATTATAATTATAGTCTTACTATGCATATTTAGACAGTAAAATATCAATAGACTAAAAAATATACTGTCTATAGTTTACGCGAGTAGTACACATTTAAATAAAACACTTTAACGGTTTAAAACGCGATATGTTGGTTAAATTTTTTTGAAAATGATTTTTAACTTCGGCGCGACGTTTTGGATGCTTTGCAGAACCCGTGGTCACGGGGAGATCCATTTTCAAATAAGTTTATATAATATTCCAAGTTTGACTTTGGTAGATTATTTTTGATTTAATGTTTTGTTTTTAAAAAAAAATTAAATCCTTTAGGGGTTAACTGTTATTTAGAGGGTACTGTTAATACCACAGTCTTAATAAAACCTTATTTGATTTACTTTCATTTCGTATTTTTTCATGCTTTAGGGTTTTTACAATAATCTTTTTTCATCTTAAACATATTCTTCCAGTTCAAAATGTGCCACGATCATCCAGGATTATCGGAGGGGTGCAAATTCCAATCGAGAAATATCCATCAGCAGCTATGTTGCTTGATTACCATATGGGCCACTACGGCCTCAAGTGTGGTGGTGTTATCATAAACAACAGATCAGTACTGACTGCCGCGGACTGTATAAGGTAATCTTATCTCGCTGGGCGTGTACAATAATAATAAATAGATATATAGGCATAGTATATAGTAAGCTATAGGTACAACATTTGGAAACTGTCTTGTAGAACCAAACAATTTCAAGTGTCAGTAACAGACACGGTCTACTCAGTAGATTACGCGAATAGTACTCATTTATCAAAAACATTTTAACTGCTCAAAACGCGACATTTATTAGTAAGCCCCGATTTAATTTAAACCTTGACTAGTTACTACAAAGATTTTTTTTTCAGAGAATTCGTTCCAGTTTCCATATGGCGTATTCGAGTCGGTTCCAATTTCATAACGAGCGGTGGAATTGTCCATCGTGTCAGCCGACTTATTTTACACCCTGAGTACAATATGTGTACTCGTGACAACGATATAGGGATCATAAGATCCGCAACCGCCTTCGAGTACAGCAACACCGTACAACGAGCCCGACTTGCTAGCAGAAATTATGTTGTTCGTGACAGTGAGGTGGTGTATGCTGTTGGCTGGGGGGCTTATAATCAGGTTAGGAATACCACAAGGACGGAATAGACCTGATTAGCATCATACTATACCAAATTGGATTAGTTCGTTGTTAAAGTAATTCGTCGATTGCTTTTGTCTTAAGACATGGTTTAATTGATTTTTGACGCTAAGTTCTATTATCGAAATGATTTACTTTTTAGAGAGGTCAGATAGGGTAACTTACGTATAATTTTCGAATAATTAGAATTTAAAACCGAAACGCGATTAATATTGACGGCTTTTTCGTCTGAGGATACTGGTTCGTAACCCAGAAGGATTTAAAAATCGAAAATAAATTCAAAAAATTCTCGACTCCGGCAGGACTTTAACCGGCATCGTCAGCTTTCCGTGCTTGCTCTACCAATTGAGTCCTCAAGTCCTGCCCGAGTCGAGGATTTTTTCAATTTATTTTCGATTTTTAAATTATATAGTGCCTTCATGTGCAATAACATGTGAAAAATAGTAATGTTTTCAAAACCCAGAAGGAATTTTGATATTCATACTACCCATTTAATATTCGGATTTCCAGACGAAGTTGAGCATGTTTAAAAAAAAATATGGACTGATAAGAAAAAAGTTAGACCCCGTGGCGATCTAACCCGTGACCCGTACATTATTAGCCATATCATTACACTAACGAGCATGTTTGAATTGGAGTTATAGATTATTTCATTTCTTTGTTTCATTTTATTGTATAATAATTTATAAATATCTATTTACAGTCAACATTTTAAACTTTAAACTTGTTGATACAACAAAGCGTAGATAATACGTAGCACGCTACGAATGAAATGAAAAAAATCCTCCCGGTTTGTTCAGAACATGTTATCCGTTGAGATTCAATGTAATGCCCGTTTTTATTATTTTTCTACGCCTATTGACAAAACCAACTGGGTTATGTACAAAACCAATTGATCAATAATCGTAAGATCAGATCTGAAATTCCAAGAAAATATAACTTCACTGATAAATGCTACTTATTGCCAAGTGGTATTCGAACTCAGGACACCTAGTTACGCAAAGCAGCATATAAAATAATTGAAGCTGACATAGTTGAAGAGTTCTAAGCTGTTTTCAATGTATTTTTTTACAGAAAGATCAATTTTACGTCTCGGAAGAACTTCGTGAAGGGGCATTAGTAACGATTAATGCTGAAGAATGTAAGGATCACTACAAATGGTGGAGTGGGTTGAACGTAACAGACGGCATGATTTGCACCAGTCTCGGTTTTTCTGGGAAAGGCCAATGTCTTGGTGATACTGGAGGACCAATCTATCACCAGGGCGCGGTCGTGGGTATCCACGTATGGACGGACGTTATCCAGAACTGTAGTGAACAATATGCGCCTGGCGTCAATATGAAAATCTCTAGTTACGTTTCATGGATTTCGGAGAATGCTTGAAATAAATATTTACTCATTTGTTTTTCATAATTAAAATTAATAGTGGAGCAAGTGTATATATATTATTTAAATAAAACACTTTAACTGATTAAAACGCGATATATTTTAGTAAAGCTTATTTGAAAATTATTGTAGTTGTGGCCATGCAAAGCATCTGAAACGTCGGCCCATAGTTTAAAAAGTCAAATAAGTTTAACTAATATTTATCGCATTTTAAACCGTTAAAGTGATTTATTTAAATGTGTACTACGCGCATAAACAACAGACAATATATATATTATTTATTAACTGAAATTTAAAAATCCAATCACGTAAGTCATAGTTTGCACAACAAATGTCATTCTATGCCCAACCGTGGTCGTCCACTTTTCTTATATCCACATAATTCAACTGCACAAGATTAAATAAACTGACCGTATTGAGGATGTATTTTAATGATAGTGAATTTATTTTTTTATTATTTCATTTCAATGCTCTCATGGAGAATTACAAAAGTAGCATTATAATTTGCAAGCATACGTAAGTATAAAAATGTGTATGTCTAAATAATAATGTGTAATCGAATTTGGTTCAAGTATAAAACAAGGTACTTTAATTTGTATGTTCTCAGGAGTTCATCTTTGAAAAAAACTGTTAATATTGTAGTATCTTAGAAGAATTATTTCTTTTATGTTTAGCGACACTTGTATATTCGTTTTTCTTCCGCGAAAGGTCTAATAAAATAATGATTTTTTACGAATTTCAATATTATTTACCTTTAACAGGAAATGTAAATTAGACCACTTTCTATCATGATAACAACAACACATATTAAAATATGTATGAAAGAATGATTCCTCTTTAGATGATCTAAAAAAATGTCACCGACACTATCTTTTAAGATTAATTTGCAAGAACGACGGGACCCGAACAACGGGTCGCGAGCGACGGGACGCAACCGATGTCGTGGGCAGCTTAAATTTATAAAGATGTAGGTTTGCAAAAACAAATTTGGATGCCCAAAATAACTATTGTACGCGGACGAAGTCACTGACACAGCTAGTATTCTTAGTTATTTCAAGTGAGAATTTGCTCCACATATTTATTGCACAGCGTCAAAAAACGTCTTAAGCTATCTTTAACCTTAAATTTATGAGGTGAGTGGCCTAACTATTTTGTCATGATTAAGTATGATCCTAATGAATTGTGAAGATATATTTTTAGGATTCTTAAAAGAAAATAATAAGATTAGAGAAGTTCTTGGTCTTTTTGGTGTCTCTTCTTCTTCCGAAGAACCTTAAGTTACAGGCCGTTAAAGGCCCAATAAACAAAACATTAAATATTCTTACAAACACAAATTGTCATTTTTGTAAGAATAGAACCCTTATGCATCTTCCATTTTTCAAATATTATTGTTCTTATAATTATTATTATCATCCTTCCACCTTTTTAATCCTCAGAAAACCTAATACCAAGAAGTCAAACAATATAACTGCCATCGTACGATGAAAATATACATATCAACAAATTACAGGCTGATTATTAGATTATTACACAATACGATTATATTATCATGGCTAACTCATTGTAGTCTTTGTATAATCCACTTTTATTATTCAGAGGCAATCTCTAAAAATAGAAATTACGTCTTCAGTAATTGTCCTCGTAATTCGCTCAAAACCTAATGTAGATTAAACGGTGCCTATTCAGCAAATTTTACGAACAACCTTACTAAAAAAGTTGTTGAATCTCAAAGTATTTTTGGCTTAACTCCTCCAATTCGAGAAAGTGTGAAATTTTCAATGATAAGTCGTTTAAGGCTTTCCGCCCATTTTGCAAAGCTTCTTCTCATTATATTTCTGTTTAAACTAATTTTCTTTGTCCTTGCCGTTTATCAATGAACCTTTATTTATATGTCTAACCAGCTGCGCCCGCGTGGAAAAGCGCTGCTAGTTGTATACTTGTGCAGTATACAGCTAATGTCAAATTAAGGTAGCCAGCCTAATGGCGACTTCACTCAAGCTGCATTGGAATACATTAAGATAATAAGGTCACCAAAAGTTATAAGTCGATTATTTATTTGCATCAAACCTAAATACAATTTACTATCGATTTTTAATTTATATAGTGCCATCATGTGCAGTAACATGTGATATATATTAATGTTTTTAAACTGATATATTACTGAACCTACATCTAGATCAATTGAGCAGTTTTTTAGATTCACGCTAATCTCAGAAACAAGCAACAACAAACAAATCTAAAATCATTGTTTGCGATATGATTACGTTGAAAAATGTCTCCTGTAATTGTTTTTAATTAGAAATGCGCCGAGTAACGAGTATCGAGTTCTACTCGGGTCAATTTATTTTAGACCAAATACTTGGTCGAATATCTCGATTCATTCAAATTATCATTGCTTTAGATTGCTATTTTAAAGAAAATTTATTGACAAAAGCAAAAGAACTTTCGTGAGGAGGATATAGAGCTAGCAGGTTTAGCTAGAGTATTTCTGTGTCCACCTGTTTATAGCGAGGGATTATTTCGGAGGTTGGTAACTTCTACAAAGGAAGGAGGAATATAATATATTGCTTTTCTTCAACAGACCGTACTCGGCCCAATAATAAAGTACAACTGAGTTATTTGGCCGAGTACGAGTATCAATCACCCGCTGAGTATATACTAGGTATCAAGCGAGTACTCGGCCCATCTCTATTTTTTTTCATATATGTACATCGATCGCGATCGGTAAATTTTTATCATAAATTGATAGATTAGAAACAATAAAGTGATGTTATCATCGTTTACTCGTACAATCACCCAAATTATAATCCACTTATATTATTCAGAAACTCTTAAAATAAAATATACGTCTTCAGTAAATAATATCAGATTTCACGAGAAGTCTGATTTTATTTACGTATGATTAGATTAGAGTCTTTCTTGATAAGGATTTGACTAATGAAAATTACGAACAATACAAAATTGAAGTTGTAAATACAATGTTTTTTTAATGCTAGCTGTATGTATCTTTTTAAATTTAGTTAAATCGTTTCGCTCTTGTTATTTTACGTATGATTACCACTATGGTACTGTTCATAAGATTTTGCAATAAGGCAAATAAAACATTAAATATTTAAAGAATGAAAGAAATTATTCAAAGAAAGAATACAGTTTTTATGAAATTAAAGTTAATTTCAAAATGTTCAAATAAGAGAACCTAGGCTAATTTATTATTAAATTTTTTCCTAACTTAAAAAAACAGATAAACTTACATTTTACTACGACCAGTATGCTGTTTCGAGAGAAGAGAAGGTTATCTATATAAAAAATAAGAAAAAATCTTTATACAACATTTTCATAAAACAAGTACTTGTCTAATATATATTTGACTTGTAAAAGACGCTAAGTTATTCAGGATCGACCAATAGTTAAATAAAACAATTTAACGGTTTAAAACGCGATATATTAGTAAAACTTATTTGAAAATGATTTTAACTCGCTAGTCTCCCCTTCTCAAATAAGTTTAACTAATATATCGCGTTTTAAACCGTTAAAGTGTTTTATTTAAATGTATACTACTCGCGTAAACTATAGACAGTATTTAGACCAATAGTGTTAAACATATTGTATATTTAATAAGATAATACTATTATATAGACACATATAAGAAACACTAATGTAACTAAAACTATCTAATCTAAGGGAAAGAACCCGAATTCCGGAGCTGTCATAATGGTTATAAAAACAGCTAAAAATGTTTTCAGGATTATATGAAGTTAGAATAAAAAAAAACCTTCTAGACTAAAATGTTTCCTAAGTATTTTAATAATATAATAATTACATAAAAACATGTACACCTAAAAATATAAATAGACAAACAATAAAAAAATGTCATTTCTATTTTTAAATAAAAAAAAAACAAAATCATAATAGTATTAATGAATCATAACTATTATTAACCCATTTCGTTGTTTCTAAATAACGATTAAAACCGATAAGATTCGTATTTCCAGTAATCAATCCTTATCGGGTGTCTAATAATTTGTTTTCATTGATCTAATATAAAAACACGACGATTCTTTTAATAACATCAGTATCTACTTACTTTAAAATCAAAATGCGTTCTTTAACCATTGTCTTCTTTTTCTTCTTGGGCGCTGTCACAGGTTTGAATTTAATAATATCTGCTATTTATTTTAGTATTATAAAAATAATTTAAATGTTCAGTCTATATTTTCATGGGTGTCTTAAAACTAATTTTGAAAAAAAATACGATATTTTGTAATAAGAATGCATTTAAATAAAACACTTTAATGGTTTAAAACGCGATATATTTTAGTAAAACTTGTTTGAAAATTATTTTTAACTACGGCTCGACGTTTCGGATGCTTTGCAGCCGCCGTGGTCACGGGGAGACACACGAAGTTAAAAATAAGTCTCTAATCTAACTGTTTTATTTAAATGTGTACTACTCGTGTAAACTACAGACAGTATTTAAGAACATGTATGTTTACAGAAAAAAATTGTTCGCTACTTTACGTCTCATAATATTTGAATTTTTATGTTCAATTTGAGTTAATCAAATACTATCAACAGCTGTTCCTGCTGGGCAAGGCAGAATCGCTGGTGGATCAATCACCACGATCAACCAATACCCATTCGTAGCTTCAACATTGTTTTCTAGGAACAATGTGGTATGGGTCCAATCCTGCACTGGAGCCATCATAAACAACAGAGCTCTTCTATCAAGTGCCAACTGCTACTTGTAAGTTTCGAACTTAACTGTTGAACAGATAATAAAGATTTTTTTTAATCTTAGAGGGGGACAGCGAATCATAGACTTCACTTGCTGGAAGTGAAAACGATGCGCTGTCGATCTATTTTGACTTTGGATATTCGGAAATCCACAGACTGAAACAGAAACGTGGTTAAACTTCACGGCTTCTTCTTCTGTGCATAGTGGTTCGTGACGCGGACGGAATTTCGATATTCCTATCGCCCATTTAACATCAAGCTTTCCAGACGAAGTCCAACATGTATTAAAAAATTATAAGAAAGATATTGGACCACGATTATTATTATAAGAGTATTTTCAAATTCTACAGAGGCGATCCCGTCAACCGTTGGAGGATCCGGGTGGGTTCTTCTTATGCCAACAGTGGTGGTGTCGTTCACAACGTTTACACGATCGTCATTCATAATAACTACAATTCCATCACACGGGACAATGACATCGCCATCGTTCGGTCAAGCACGACCTTCACATACAACAACAATGTGGCTTACATTCCACTAGCTGGAGCCAATTACAACATTCCGGACAATTCTGCTGTCTGGGCACTTGGTTGGGGACGTACCACTGTAAGTATTTTTTTATAAGATTGAGACGGACATACAACTACTGTCGACCTATTTCGGCTTTGAATTTTCAGAAATTCGACAGACTGGAAACGAAACGCGATTAAACTTAAAGGATTTTTTGTCTTTGGACGGTGGTTCGTAACCGGGATGTCGATATTTTTACCACCCAAAGCAAAATTAATATCCACCTTTCCATATGACATGATTCAATAAATATAAATTGATTAAAATCATTTTGGATCCGGTGGTGATCGAATACACGACCCATTGATAATATTTGCTATTAGCAGCTATTTGCTGCTTGCCTGTAAAACAAGTTATAGAAAACTTAACGGTTTAAATGAGAAATTATATTAGTTGAATTTATTTCCTCTACAACCAAGTAAATTTCACATTGTATGTTAAAAATGTTTTATTAAAATAAAATTTTAATCTATTTTATATAATCTATTAATGATACAAACAATATGAAAAAAAAAAACATTCTGTTTATTTTATTGTAGTGCTGTGTATTTGGACTTTTCAGTTTCAACGCATGACTGAATACTGGTTTTCTTTTTTCAGCAAACTGCAGCTCCATCTGAACAACTACGTCGGGTACAAGTATGGACCGTCAACGCCAATGTCTGCAGGAATAATTATCTTGAGGTGGGTTTCACTGTCACGAATAACATGTTGTGCAGTGGCTGGGTGAACCAAGGAGGTCGTGGTCAATGCGAGGGTGATGATGGCGGTCCCCTCATTCACAACAATAACCTGGTGGGTGTTTTCTCCTGGGGCCAGCAGTGCGCTAGCAGCCGATACCCCGATATCAATACTAAAGTATCACCATATATCACCTGGATTAGAAACAATGCATAGTAGCTTCTAAGTAAACTGTTTTATAAGGTACAATTTATTGAGTGAACAAATGCGAGAATAATGTATTTTTTTTAATTAAATAAAGCATAAAAAAATAAGTTTTTTGTTTGATTAAACACTGAATAATGTTTAAATAAAATACTTTAATGATTTAAAACGCGATATATTTGTTTAAACTTATTTGAAAATGATTTTTAACTTTGGCCCGACGTTTCGGATGTTTTGCAGCAGCCGTGGTCACGGGGAGACCTGCCGTCTAATATATCGTTTTTGAAACCGTTAAAGTGTTTTATTTAAATGTCTACTACTCGCCTAAACTATGGACAGTACTGAACAATGTTCCTTCCTATTTTGAAATATTATGTTGTTAATATTGATTTAATTTATGTCAATTATTGGTTTTACGTTTTGCTATAATCATTGTTTCGAGAAAAATATTTATTCTTATGTAAGGTAAATTAAAGTGCCTCTATTAGTGAATATATTTTGTATTGTAAATTTTATAAGTGTAAAAGTGCTTAATAATAATAGAGATAACATAATCAAAGAGGCTTTACAGAAAATTAATACAATATTTTAAAATATACGTAACGATTAATTGGTCTCTGTATTATTGTTAACTATTGATGCTTTCTGGATGTTTGTGTTGTTTTATTCTTGTTGTAATTATTATATGACAAAAACAACACACAAAAGTGAAGGGGTTCGTTCGTCGAAAAAGACTCTTGGGGCATTATGGACCACACATCAAGTTTCCTGCTTACTTACACCTGTGCCTTTGACGTTAATAGAATATCATGTCTAGGGTAACACGAGAGCTCAACTTATTATCAATTATTATTGTAAATCTTATTTGAGGTTGCCTGAAAGAAATCGCTTTTTAGCGATAAGGCCGTTCTTTCTCGCTACATTTTTTTTGGATAAGCTTTAAATTAAATCTTATTTTGTAACATTGTGGTGACAATAAAGTATTTTTTGTTTGTTTATCATGTCTCATCTAACTTTTTTTAATAGTTTAAGCATTGCGCCATAAGTGGACTAATGGGACAACATAATAATTACAGTTATCCATCTATAACACTGTTATATCAATTAAAAGTTTATTCCAATGAATAAACACTTAATTATTATATGAAATTCGTAGTATCCCTATCTTTAAGTAGCATACACAACAATAAGTGAATCACAACTCCTTATGGATTGCATATTTCTGTTATTCTAATGATTGTTATCAATGATAGCAAATAAGACACTTTATATAAAAAGCATTGGAGTGCGCAAGCGCATCGGATAAGCAAGAACTATGGGCAAAATAGTAGTTACACTACTGTTATCTCTCTCTGCTGCGTTGGGTAAGTTTAGTTTTTTTTCTAACAAATTCTGAGATAACACTTTTAACATTTCTTTAATACCATCAAGGTATAATTTTATTATCTAACTTTGTTAAATAATTTATCCTTTTATCTATTACTTCATTGTTACCCTTTCGCTTTGAAAACCACTGGTGGACCTGGTTTGACTTCCAAAAATAGTTTAAAATAGGCAGGACACAAGGTCCAATCAAATATCTACTTGCCTAAAAATTTTGTATTTGCATTTTTCATCTTTTTATTATTTTAATGACAGCGAAGCAAGTAGGGTTGTGACTTTTGCAATATTTATGTTTACGTATGAATTAAATTTTAATTATTTTATTTCAAAATGTAAATTGTGTTGAAATTATGTTCCTTTAATTTTAGCCACTAGTCCACAAGCGCGAATAGCAGGCGGTTCTGCAGCTGTAATAAACTCGTATCCATTCGCTGTAGCTCTACTGAGGTCCCAGGACTATGTTTCCTTCGCCCAAGTATGCGCTGGCTCTATTATCACCACACGCTCTGTTCTGACAGCTGCAAGTTGTTTCTTGTAAGTAAAAACATCCAAATTCAAATATGAACAGCTGTTTATGCGATAAATGTATTTATTCCTATGCTCTTTGTAGTTATTTTGTCGCGGATTATAAACCCGACTGTGTCTTAAATCGTAAATATATTTATAAATAATTTTTTAGTTTAAGGTAAAGTATTCATGCATGAATTCCATTTTTTCTTATATCGTATATCGTAAATAATTGTCTAAGCCGTGTTTACTAAAAGAGAAAATAATTTAAATATATTATAGATTAAACATCGATTATAAAGTGAAAAATTTGGCCTCAGGCAGGACTTGAACCGACATCCGTGCTGTTGCTCTAGCCAATTGAGGTCGATTTTTTTCAATCTATCGATACATGCACCTCTCTCGCCTTAAGGTTCTATGCCCGTCCGATTCCGTCGCCGTCTGTCGGACAGCGCGATCATATTTCCTTGTTGTCGTAAATTACTATTGTAGATTATACTCGAACTGGGTATTTTTGCAGTGTATTAGTTAAATTATAACTAAATATCGAATTCGAAGTTGAATATAAAAGTATACAGTGGTTATAGTGACTTAAAAGTGCTTAAGAACAGTGATGAGTTGTGGGTATGCATTGAACAATTTGCGAAAACAGTGATACCGTCGATTAAATATATAGACAGTTTAGAAGAAGTGCATAATAACGGACTGGATATTATTGAGAAAAATAATTAGTGACTTCGTGCAATTTTTTATATAAAGCGAACTGTGAATAAATTTGCAATATTCGCATATAAATAAGCATCATTGAGCAAAGCGACATCTAGCGATCTTGTTTATTAACTACTTTGTTCTTTCAATACTGACTATGTCGACAGTAAAGTGTTCGAACTGTGGAAAATTCACTTCGGCAACAGATGGCGTTAAATGTACCAAATGCGCAGGAGTTTTCGATAGGGGATGTGCTAAGCTATCCAAAGGAGAAAGAACACCCCCAAATTGGTCCTGCCTGGAGTGTAAGGGCAATAAGACCAGGGACTCTCCGTTATCCGATACTATAATTTCTGAATTGCAATTGTTACGTACAGAACTGGCAAATCAAATGGGTGCTATCAGGGAGGATATGGCGTGCTTCTCCACTCGAATAGATAAACTATTTGAGTCAGTGCACAATTTGGGAGATAGACTCGATAATGTCGAAAGCAGGATTTCTGTTTTAGAAAATAAATCAGAACTTTCACCTAGCCAAGACTGTAACTCGAACCAGGATTTATTATCATCTATATCGCAGTTAAAAACGGAATTAAACGATCGAGATCAGGAATTGTTACTGACGGACATAGAAATCTCTGGAATTCCAGACAACGAAGGTGAAAATTTGTCGCATTTGGTCACTCTGATTGCGTCAAAGCTCAGCGTTGTGGTTCATGAAGACGACATCGTGAGTGTTCAGAGGGCAAAGGCCTATAGTCGTAATCGCAGTAATGGAAGTGGGCCGAAACCAAGTAGCCGATCGATATACGTACGATTCACAAGACGTTCAATACGAGACAACTTATTAAAAAGTGCACGTGTACGCCGAGATGCCGACACGTCAGGATTAAATCTACCGGGCGATCCGCGCCGATTCTATCTGAATGAACGTCTTACGCGCCACAACAAGCACCTCTTCTATAAGGCTCGCGAGGAAAAGAAACGACTAAGCTGGCAATACCTATGGACCAAAGATGGGAATATATTTGCTCGTCAGAAATCGGACACAAAAGTTAAACGAATTCGTACTGAAGCAGACTTGGCCGTGGTTTTTGGTGGTCCCGAAAATTAGTCCCCCATCTTGTTTACATTGCTATTCCCGTTAGTTTCATTCGATGTATGTCTATAACCCTAGAAAAAAGTTGTCTATGTCCTAAGACTATTCTGCTTTTATCTTATATTTTATTTTTAATAGACTACTGTTGTAATAATAATAATTTGTCTAATAAGTTTGCGAAGGGTCACAGTCATGTTGTGATTAGCCAGATTATGTTATATACTGTAAAGTTATTATATGTGTCTATAGAATCATATCAACATAGCGTATCTGTATTTAGTATTGATGCTGTAATATGTGGGTTAAGTTGTTTAAAACTACACTATTATACCTTTAAGACTACCAACCATTTTGTTAATTTAAATTTAATTCTAGTCACAACTAAGTATGATTGTATACATGGTAAACAATTAGTACTATTTCACACTACAATAGTCATTATCTTTAGTGGGCTAGAAAAAGTGATGCCAAATAATAACCTCCCTGTTAGTATTGTTATCTTTCTGGTTGCTTTTATTTGTCTTTTTGATCAAATAGCAGTTAAGAATAACGATGGTATTCTTATTTTTACCCATTTTCAACATATAAAACGTTTAATAATACAACTTAACATATTACTTAATAATTATTTCACTGTTCGACGTATACATATAACCATTCTTACAAGAATCTTTGCAAGTGACTTTATAATACTTTATATTATAAAACCTATTGGTCGTAGGGGCGTTTTCAAACATCATTTATTTTCTACTTATTTTTCGCCTATAAAATATAACTTGTCATATAAGTTTTCACTAAGTTATCTCTATTTCAAAACAACTTAAAATTGGTTTACTAAATCCCTGTTCACTTGCAAATAAACATGAGGAATTTGTTTCCGCTGTGGAGGGGCTTCGTTTTGACTTGTTAGCCATTAACGAAACATGGCTCCGCGGGAACGACGACGCTCTTGTGCCACAATTAGCTGGCTATAAATTTTTGCATGTTCCTCGCTCGCCTACGGTCAGATCTCGCGGTGGTGGAGTGGGATTCTTTATCCGGCAAGAAATCGTTGCGCGTAGAGTCTCATTCCCAGCCCACCCCACGGTCGAGCAATTTTGGTTGTCCTTAAAGTGTTGTAGTTGTAACGTTATAGTTGGTACGGCGTACAGACCACCGTGGCACGATATAGATACGTTTTTTGACGCATTAACCGATACACTCAGTTCCTTCGCAAATTATGATTATACCATCTTATTGGGCGATTTTAACATTAATTTACTGCAGTCGAATAGTAACACTTCTAAATTTCACAATTTCGTACAGTATATGAATTTCACGCAATGGATTACAGAGCCTACTCATTTCAGCAATACTTCAGCAACTTTAATAGATGTCGTGTGTAGTGATCTTAGTGTGAGCAGAGTACACGTTAATTTTATACCGGACTTAAGCAACCACGCGCTTATTGAGTGTGATTTTAAATTAAAAAAACAAACTTTAAATAAACCGTGTTGGAGAATTTTTAGACCGCTTAATACCATAAATTTGCAAACATTTACTGAATGTCTCCAGGCAATAGATTGGAAGCTACTATGTTCCAAAGATAATGTCGACGATCTGGTTATTACTTTTTGCGATATCCTGACAATGATCTTTGACATCTATGCACCGGTAAAAAAAGTATTTTCCAAGTCTTCTCCTTCACTACCGTGGATTACTTTTCCAATTAAAAAAATGATTAAACATCGTAATGAAGCGCATGATTTGTATAGAACGACTGGTTTAGATGCACATAAAGCAAATTACAAGGAACTAAAAAAATTTACAAACATTTCAATTTACAATGAGAAAAACGCCTATTTTAACACAAAATTAAATCTTCAAATCAATAATCCTAAACAACTTTGGAAAAACCTTAAGCAAAATTTAAACATTAATTTCAAAAGACCGAATGAGTTACCTTCTCAGTTTAATGACCCAGATCTAATTAACGCTCATTTCACAGATATTCCTGGTGACAATGCAGTAAATGACTTTACCTTAAATTATTTCAAGTCAAATAGAGCATGCAGTACTTCCTTTAAACTTTCTCCTGTTTCATCATCGACAATTGCGAAAATAATCAAGTCCCTTCACTCTAAAGCTTTAGGGTATGATGGCGTTTCCCTGGATATGCTCTTGTTAACTCTACCTTATACTCTGGACGTCCTTACTGCTATAGTTAATAGATCAATTGAAGCGCATACGTACCCTATAACGTGGAAAACCGCTATAGTGAAGCCATTAGCAAAACATGGTAATCCTGAGGCGATAAGCGATCTTCGTCCCATTAGCATTTTGCCATGTATGTCAAAGATTATTGAGAAAGTAATTGCTGCACAACTTAATGAATATTTAGAAAAAAATCACATCCTTCCCGGTAATCAATCTGGTTTTCGCAAGTCTCATAGTACGTCGACATTGCTCATTGATGTAGTTGATGATGCATTACAGGCTCAAGATAGAGGTGAAGCTACGCTTTTGGTGTTACTTGACTTTTCGAGGGCTTTTGAAACAATTAATCTTGACCTTATGCTTGCTAAAATGGCTTTCTACGGCTTTGAAGCTGAAACGGTCGCATGGTTTGAAAGCTACCTAAGGGGACGAACACAAATCGTGGAACTAACGAATACAGTAAATGGTGAGGCTATTCGGTCTCGACCGAGGACGCTATTAAGTGGAGTTCCACAAGGATCAGTTTTAGGACCAATTTTGTTTAATTTGTATAGCGCAGACGTTGTCAGTTCCATTAAATTTGCCAAATATCATATATATGCCGATGATATCCAATTATATTTACCTTTTGATCCTTTGAACACTCAAATAGCGGTTGGCAAACTAAATTTAGATTTACAAAATATAGCTCAATGGGCTTCTTGCAACTCCCTCAATTTGAATCCGGCTAAAACCAAATTTATGATTCTTGGTACTGACAAACAAGTAGCTGATGTTAAAACACGTGCACCTAAAGTAAGCGTCCTTGGAGAGGATATTGAATGTGTTTCCCAATCACGGAATTTGGGTATAGTGTTTGACTCAGGACTTCGCTTCGAAGCACATATTGAAAATGTGGTAAGGAACTGTCTGTATCGGCTAAAAGTACTTTACCGGATACGCCGCTATATAAACGAGGAGCTTCGCACAAAGCTGTGCGAAGCACTTATTCTTTCGAAACTAAATTATGGCGACGTAGTTTTCGGGCCGCGTCTTTTAGCACGGACTGAACGAGTTGTGCAGAGGGTACAGAACGCGTGTGCTCGATATTGTTTTAATATAGCCCCTCGCACTCATGTTACACCCTATATTTACAAAAACAGGATCCTCAAAATGACGTTGCGAAGAGAATTGCACTTAGCTACTTTACTATTTGGAGTGATAAAAAATGCTAAACCTAATTATCTTTTTAAAAAATTAGAGTGGTGTCGTGGTGTCTTCCAAACAAGGCTCCTCAATTCAGGAGGGTTGAGAATTCCTAAATATAATTCGGCCGCCTTTAGAGGGTCGTTCAGTTACTCAGCGACAAAATGCTGGAATAATATTCCACCGCCAGCCCATAATTATAATAGTTTATTTGGCTTCAAAAAATTCTACAAAGCATTTTTATTAAACTATCAGAACACTTTGCCGCTGGGCGCAAGAATTTCTCCCTCCTATTTACGCCAATAATTTCTAATTTCTATTTTTATCATTTATTGCTTCCTAATGTTTACCACTAAAGTCACTGTTATATAGTATCGAATGGTTGTATGTGCGCTGTCTAACAGACAAACGGTAGGGTTTTGCTGAAAATCAGTGTTGTAGCATAATAACCGTGCTACAACTTATGCTGACGTAAGACCCTTTTGGCATCATTTTAAACAAAATTTAATTTAATCTTGTCGTAGTATTATTGTTTTACTTTTATTATTATTATTTTTTATTGTAATTACATTTATTTTTATTACGTCTAATAATTGTACAAAATGAATGCTAAATAAAGATATTTATTATTATTATTATTATTATGTATTATGCTTTGCAGCTTAAAAAAATCATTGAAGATGAAATTATAAAATTTAACGTTTGAAAATTTTTATACTTTACATTATTGCACATGATTGTGATTAAATTATGGACTTTTTTTTAGTGGCGACAATACAAGCCTGTGGCGTATAAGAGCTGGATCGAGTTGGGCGAACAGTGGCGGATCAGTTCACAACGTGAACCAAGTGCTTTTCAATCCGTACTATAATCCTAGGATTCGAGATGGCGACATCGCTATTATCAGAACTCCATCAAACTTTGTGTATAGCAACACTGTAAGACCTGCATCTATCGCCGGTGTAAACTATGTTTTAAATGACAATCAAGCTGTGTGGGCGATTGGTTGGGGATCTGCCTACGTAAGTTTATATTAGTTACAAAACTATTTAAATTAAAGTAATTGATATTAACTCTGTATACAATTAAGAAATGTCTGTAGTTTAGACGAGTAATACACATTTCAATTAAACACTTAAACAGTTTAAAACGCAAAATATAACAGTTTAACGTCGGGCTGTTAAATGATTTGTAAATAAGTTTAACTAATTTATTTAGATCCAACTAACTCCATAACGACCAGTGCTGCTGTTAAGTCACGCTCTTCTTCATCAATACAATTTTATTTTTCAACAAATTAAAACATTCACCTTTCGCGCAGTCGATTTTCAACAATATTATGTACGCATTGAGGTTCAATGCTTTGTAGGAATGAGATTAATTGAATGTTTTAAAACGAGGAACAAGAAAAAAATTTATAAAGCCATAAGTGTAAGATTTGTGGGGCATGAGATAGACATATGTCTCTATTTTACTGAGCCAACGAGCCATAAAGGCGGTCTTTTTTTACTATATTAAATATTTTAGCCATATATACTTTAAATTATTTATATATATATTATTTATGTCTATATATTTTAATAACTTCCTGTTTTCAACGCCCTACTAAACATTATCTTAAATCTTATATGATGCCATTATAATACATTCTACTCTGCAGTGGTCCTCTTTAGTATGCTTAATTAAAATTATAACACACAATTTATACAAACAATAGCCGTGAAATAAGCACAATTATTTTAATTATTTCTAATAGACATATTCCTTAAATTATAAAGTTTTTTTCGCGTAACAGAAAAATATTGTATCAGTTTCCAATAAGGGCTTTGTGGAAGGTTTATTGTTATTATCTCGTACACATATAAATAAAACACTTGTAATTACAAGTTTAAAACGCGAAATACATTATTTATTTTTTTACTTTCGACCCAACTTTAGATTAGGATTCGATTATTTTGGTCCGGGGTTGTAGATTGGTTGGTGGTTAGATTGATTTGGATGCTATTTTGGTCCCCCCCATAACCACGGCTGCTGCAAAGGTCGCGCCATATACAGGCATTATTAAATTGTATATATAATTTATAAATAATATATAAATATAAAAAGATATATAATTTATACAAATAATATATAAATAATGTATATGTAATATTATACACCTTTTTACAGTTTGGTGGACCCACGTCTCAACAGCTACGTCACGTACAAATATGGAGTGTGAATCGGACTGTTTGTAAGAGCCGATACAGATCTATCGGATATACAGTGACTGATAATATGATATGCGCCGGCTGGCTAGATGTGGGGGGAAGAGACCAATGTCAATATGACGCCGGCGGCCCCCTCATCCACAACAATGCTGTAGTGGGAATATGCTCCTGGGGCTACCAGTGTGGATCGCCCACTTACCCCGGTGTTAACACTCGCATCTCCAAATACACCCCTTGGATACAGGCCAACGCCTAACTGAATATTGGAAATAAATATTTAATGAAGTTATGAGCTCTTTTTTTTTTGGAGCGCTTTAAAGTTGTTTTAAAATCGTATTTATTAAGAAACTTTTAAAAACGTGTATATCCAGGGCTCTTTAGTTTAAACAACTTTATACATATAATTACTATATTGAAATTGGTATTGATATATATTAGCAGGAAGTTTCATATGACAACTATCGTTGAAGATAATATGACTGATATTAGAACTTAAGTCGTATTAATTTATTGAATTTAAACTATAAGTTTCTATCGACTTACAAGCGATAACGACTACCTAGCCATCATTATCAAAATACTAAAAATATATATAATGCGTAAATATATATAATCTATAATTATTATAGATTTAATCTATCGACATACTAAGCTTATTTAAAACTGTCATAAAATACTAATTCTCAAATATGGATATAAAATTCTTTAAAGCAAGTTTTCCTTAGATTTGTAAGTGGAATAAATTATAATTTGATTAGTCGTACAATCGGAACCCGTTGAAAGCCCAAATATATGTTCAGCATTAGCATCCTAAGCCCGAGATAATATTTGCAATGTTGGATGTAGAGCGTAAAGATAGTAAAAGCGGAATACACGGTGAATTTTAAGCAGAAATAATATGGAAAAATGCCAACGTTGTCTTTAGAGTTTTACATTGAAACGTGTATATCTTCAAAACAATGAGGGATTTACCATAAAACAAGCAGTTTAGATATATTTAGATATGTAATTATCACACATACATAAAGATTTACTAATACCTACGACTTAAATTACCAATCACATATGTTAAAATTTTTTTGTTTTATATATTGGAATTGACTGCTTTATAGTTTATAATTTTTTTTTGCAGTTTTTCCATTTTTAAAGGTATATTTAACAATATATTCAAATTGGTATTAAAATTCGTAAAAGTTTTTGTTGATTGAGAGCTTGGCAGGAAAAACCAAGCATTTTTCAAAATTTGAGGTTAATTAAACACTATAGTTAGTTATATCCACATTATAATTATATTATACTACAATTACAGAACATTAATCTCAATCTAGGGAGCTTATTTGTGCTATTGCATAATGTACATAATCGTTAAGGAAAGGACGTCGTTATCAGCCGTAAACCACTAACTCTCTACGAGTAGTCGTTACTGCTACGGCGTAGCTGTTTCCGCTCCAGTACACCACAGTAGTCAGCTAAGTTAACGATTTGAAAACAATAACGAATTTCGGTAGGATAGATATGGGATATTTGATTAACACAACTTTGTTAGTGATGTAAAATATATTAAATAAATTCTTAAATTAATATTACGCTGGCAGACTTTAATATATTTTTTTTAAATACTGGCTGTCGTATTCGCGAGGAGTACACATTTAAATAAAATAATAATAATGCTTTACATTATATTATAATTAAAATAATTTTCAAATAAGTTTAACTGATATTTATCGCATTAAAGTGTTTAATTTTAATCTTTGTATACAGCTCGACGTTTTGGAATGGCCGGAAATCAAATCTCATTACCAAAACACACATTGCTGCCCCACATTTCTTAAAGCACTGTGTTAAGGCGTGCAGTCGAAAATGAAAGCCTAGTTTAGATGCATATATAACAATGAATAACCCTGACCGTAGCGCGCTATTCTCAACACAATGGAACTCAAAATACAGTCTATCAAATTAAACTGCGCTTTCCGCCTAAATATGTACTGCAATGCTATAAATATATGCTTTATAAAATTGTAAACAATACTTCTAAGTATCACATATATAAAAAATCTTATATAATTAATGCAGATGGAACTAAGATTTTTATGATAGAGGAAGACAGACAATGGTAGATGAAAGACCCCAGTCTAAAGCATCTAAACAAGATGCGCTGTCGATCTATTTCACTGAAACCGAAGCACGATTAAACTTGAAGGCTTTTTCATTTGTGGACAGTGTTTCGTGACCTGGATGGAATTTAGACATCCTCCATTACCCCATATTAAATCCAGATGTGAAAACGAACGAACGACAATTAAAAATGGTTTAGAAAAATGTTGAACCCGGAGGGGATCGTACCCCCGACCCAATGATTAATAGCCACACTTTGCCACTAGACCAACAAGCTCAACATAATATTCTCAACGCTAGCTCTATGGTTAAGGTCTTGGATATCCTGTAAGGTTGGGCACAAAATGAATGGGAAATGGACGCACAAAATTTGTTGGCCCTACATTATTTTCACATTAGATATTTAACACCGTCAGTATACTTTGGCAAGAGCGTTAATTTAAACGAGCACAAAAATGTGTCTTGAATGAAACACGGGAAAAGCGGATTTGACTGAGAAAATAAGTGAAGTGTAGGATATATTTCGCTACGCTAAAAAAAAAAAAGTAAAGTAAAACTGTATTAAAACTTGCTTTTTTGTATGTCCGTTTTAAACAATAATGAAAGTATCTAACGAGACTTAAACAACCATACATTATTCAGTGCCTGCGCTACAATTTTCGCCTCATTTTCCCCTAATAAACCATAGAATATAAACCAACTAGGTCCGATCTTAGCCGAACAAGTCCGAACACAGCCGAATACCTGCATCGATTTTTACTTGAACTTGCTCTGGTTCATGTATGGCGTTTTATTACACTTATTAGGGTCGGTCACGGTTGCTTCCAAGGTTTGTCGAGGGTTCTCATTCTAAACGAGTTTATTTAAAACTGCTATAGTAACTTCAAGGTGATAGAAAAACACTTAACGTTGCCAGTAGTTTACATTTTCATACTTAACAACGTTATAGTTTGTGTGTAGTTTTGCGAGGCGTACACATATAATGTATATTAGGTTAGGGGACTAACTCAAATATAATTATTCTGAAACATGTAGGACTTTTAAATAAAGCACTTTAACGGTTTAAAACGCGATATATTAGTACACTACTCGCGTAAACTATAGACAGTATATAGGACCTTGTCTTCTAATCTGGATATGTAATGGCGAGAAACCATCGGCCACGGATGAATCCGTGAAGTTTTATTGTATTTTGTCGGTCTGGCATATCCAAAGCCAAACTAGCTTATTGTTTGTCTATATTGTGTGTGTGTCAAAGTATTAATTAAGAAATAATCTGTCTAGAATCTTGATTTGACTCATAATAATATGAATACTATTATACATACAGACCGACCTTTCCTACATTTTATATTAATGGGTTATGAGTTACTCTGTAAGAGTGCTCCACGAGCAACAATGAAAGTGGGGTATAAATATTTTATCGAATACAACTATAATTGCGTTGCCCTTGGAAGCAATGACATTGTATCGCTCGGAAATCGAAATAACCATATATCACGAACAATATTGCGACAAACTCTATTATGTATATAAATTTAACTAGAGACGCCCCGTGTTGTATATCACGTAACTTTTCCTCCTTTTTACCCTCTAAAATCAATCAAGTTCTTTATTAGTTTAGGCTAGGAATTTACTTATCAAATATTTTACTGATCACGACAAAGCACTAACTAAGATGATCATTTATTATATAGAAGTTCTAGTCAAAAAGTGAAATAAGTCACTTTTTTTTGTATTTCATCATAATTATGGCGTAGAACTGGTTATACTTTGTGTACAATTAAATAATAAAGTTAAATTTAGAAATTAGTGGGTATTTTAAAATATCCTAAAATTATGTATCCGCCATCTTGGAAAGTCCGCCATATTGTTCTATAAAGCTGTATGAACTAATTCAAGTACAGTACAATTGTTTCTTTCTAATTTATTATTTAATAAAATATACAGAATTGCTACTATCAAATACTATTTAGAATTTTAAAAGCTTTTACAGGTTTCTGGGATCCCCGCAGTGCAAAAGGATTTAATGGTCATGAAATATACGTCAGGCCGTATATTTTATGACCGTTATATATGACTTTAGCCGTAGAATGAAATAGGTATAATAAATGTCTTATACCGTTCCTATTTTCTACCCATCCAAAGAGGGTTTTCGCCAAACAATGCTTAACCGTAGCGAGCCAAGGTTATTACCATTATTACACATATTATCGTTCACCATTCGCCTAACACGAGCTATTTCCCTCGATATTAAATATTCACTCACCCACTGACGTATCTTTGACCTTGCCTTAAAAGCACCCTCAACCCGTCGGCGTCTTTTTATATCTTTACTTACTTCTTGTGTTACTTTCATTAGATTACTATGTTTTTCTTGAAAAGAGAATGCTTTTATGTTATCTTTCTTGTACTTTTTACATTAATATTTTGATGTTTTCATCTACTAAATATTTTTTCTCAGAATTATATATTTCGTAGCTACAATGGCAATTGTAACTACGAAAGTAAGGTTAGGCATTACCTTAGGTTATAAATGATATACGCCATATTTAAAAATACACAAACATCTGCCCAAACCAATCTGTAATTGCGGGTTCGAGGACCGCCATTGTCATATATTTTTACTGTCGTTTTTTAAACTATTTTTATCTCAGCATAATATAAGTAAATATTATTAAATAGTTCCAATAAAATCACTTAGATTAAACTGTGTCACTAAACTGTGCTTATTTTAATATTCTATTAAGGAACATTACATCAATAAACTATACAGGAATAAACTAGCAATTTTAAAAATATATATCATTTTTTTGGGCTATAGTTGATTTTTCATATAAGACGTCTCGACACGCAGAATTACAAAATGTATTTTGTTTTTGTTACCGTTGCATAGTTTCGCTAACAAAGACCGATTCGCTATACATAGATTACACAGTCCAACGCTAGTTCCCTTATAGATCCAAACACGTGTACAATGTTTATTTTGTCATGTTTACATTTGCACTGCTACAGCAAATATTAGCACCAACTTGTTATCCGAGTCTGCTTTGCCTGCCTCTCAATTGAATGTTCAGTTTAACTGCTAGCCAATGGAATAAAATTGGAAGGTTTATTATGGCAGGTAGCTCTGCTGCATAC